TTTCTTTATTTCTTTATTGCCACATTATGTCAACCTGCGTAACATATAAGGAAATGTAAACTGAAAAATTCCCTGTAAGTTACTCTCAATTCAAAATTCTTTGTAGGTTACTCAGATTGACATACACCTGATGAAGCTTATAATGCACAACAACTGAAACGTTTTGGTAACAAGTCAGCTCTTTGTTGATTCAATATTGATTGTATATGGTTTTTAAAATAGAATCTTTCACTATCAATTAAGGCCAATTAATTTTATTACTAATAACTCTATATTATTATTGCATATTAACATCATGAATGCATATTGATTACCAAACAGTATAATGAATAACCCGAAGTGAATAAACTTAGGAAAGCTTTATTCAACTTAATACAGCTACCAAAAGAAAAGAATTAAGCTAGCTTATTTATAAGCATTTCTGGAGTCTGTCCATTACACCAAACAGGGGGAGCAGGTTGTGGGAATTACTTACAACATTCTCCCCCACCAGCTAGTTATTCGTACAGAATAAAGTCTTTCCAACGACCTGGCATTTTGCAGGTCCTTTGGGAACATCTTAATTGTTCAGGTGACTGGTGGCCGTCTATGTCAGACGACAAGTTATAGTTATCGTGATTAACGCATTTCTGCATAGAGGGTGTAGCCTTGAAACGGCACCGTTTTTTTTTTATGTTTCGGTTGCTGGGTGTCTGAAAAATAAGTGTCAGTCTCCGATGTAGGGTGAGTCCGTTTTTGTGGTATCGGTCTTTCTTCAGAATCAGATGTAGAAGAAAGTTCATAAGGATAATCGGATTCATTCGGTAGAGTATCTGAACTAGATGTACGCAGGATTTGATCACCTAGCTTAACTGGGCTGGTTCTGAAAACTGGATATTCACGATTCTCCATCGCAGTAGCCTCTTCAGATGTATTTCCAGCCGCCGCGAGATCTCTTAAGGAGACTGTTGATTGTCTTCCTTCCACAGTTTCAATCTGGGCGTATTGGGGGTTTGCCTCAATTAGTTTCACTTTGCTTACTAAGGGGTCATGTTTACTACGACGAACATGGTGTTTCAGTAAAATGATTCCAGGTTGAGCAAGCCATGAAGGGAGGGAAGTGCCTGTTGAGCTTCGTCGTTGGAACAGAAAAAACCTCTCATGTGGAGTAGCGTTTGTAGATGAACACAGTCGGGTCCTGATAGTGTTTAGAGCTTCAGGGATGACACTTTCCCATTTTGAGGTCAACATTTTCCGGTTTGCCAACACCAACTGTACCGTCTTCCATATTATTCCATTATATCTTTCACAGAGCCCATTCCCTTGAGGGTTGTAAGGGGAGGTTCGGCTTACCTCCACTCTTCATTTATGCAAAAAATTCTTGAGATCTTCCGACATAAAGGCAGATCCCCGATCTGTATGAATGAATGCAGGCACTCCGAAAATTGTGAAAAGGGAGCAGAGGCCTTGAATAACTGTAGTGGCCATTACATCAGTGCATGGAATGACGAAGGGGAACCTTGAGTACTTGTCAATTACAGTAAGCATGTATTTATTTTGTGTTTTAGAAGGTAGTGGACCCTTGAAATCTAGATTAAGCTTTTCGAAAGGCTGAGTGGCCTTCACGAGTGTTGCTTGAGGGGGCTTATAGAATATTGGCTTATTTTCTGCGCATATTTGGCAGGAGTTGGTAATTCTTTTTACATCTTCAACTGAATATGGTAAATTCCTGCTCCAGACTACATGTGTCATTCTTGTGATGCCCGGGTGGCACAATTCTCGGTGTATGCTCTGAAGATCAGATGAGCTTGTTGTTAAACCACACACCTTTGAAAGTGCATCAACTGCAGCATTCTCCTTTCCAGGGCGATAGGAGACGTTGAATGAATAACAAGAGAGTTCCATCTGCCATCTTGCAATTTTCTTTTTTGTTCGGTGATAAGGTGGAATTGTCTACCGATCAGATAAGGCCTCCATTTTCGTAAAGCTTCAACTATGACGTACACTTCTTTTTCTATGGCAGTATGCCTTCGTTCAGACTTCGAGAGTGTCCTAGAGAAAAAAGCTACAGGCCAACCATGTTGTCTTAAGGAGGCAGCTATTGCTGAATCAGATGCATCGGTTTCAACTTCTAGATGAGCTGAAGGATTAATGGCAGCAATGGCAAAATTAGCAATATCCCTTTTTAAATTTTGAAATGCTCTAATGGCTGAATCAGATAATGGAAAAGTTCTTACTTGAGTAAGTAAATGTATTTTTTCAGAAAAGACCGCAACCCATTGGGAATAATGGGCAAACATGCCAAGGGCTCATCGTAATGCAGCTATATTTCCAGGAATTGGTAATTCCATTAAGGGTTTAAGTCGCTCGGGGTACAGTCTCATGGCACCATTCCTGACTATGTACCCTAGTAGCTTGATGCTTTTCAAATTATATGAACACTTTTCCTCATTAAGGGTCAGGTCATATTTATTTACGGCAGCCATGAATCGTTTGAGGTTGTGGTTATGATCTTCCTCGTTATAACCGAAAATAGTGACATTGTCTATGTATGCCACAGTACCCTTCAGTTTCTCATTAGAAATGATTTCATCTATTACCCTTTGAAAACTTGCGACCCCATTTGTAACCCTAAAAGGGATCCTACGGAATTGATATAAATGCCCACAAGCTTCGAATGCCGTGTAAGGTTTTTCCTCCGGCTTGATGGGTATCTGATGGTAGGCACTCCTAAGGTCCAACGTGCTGAAAATACGATACTTAGTGATATCGGAAACCATTTTGTCAATACGGGGCAGCGGATATGCATCGAACTGTGTATATCTGTTGATGGTTTGGGAATAATCAACAACCATCCTCTTTTTATGGTTTTCATTAGTCGTTATTAGGACCTGGGCTCTCCATGGTGATTTGCTGGGCTCTATAATATTTTCCTTAAGAAGTCTTTTCACTTCCATTGCAATAAATTCCTTGTCTTTGAGCGAATAGCGTCTAGATTTTGCGGCTATAGGTTTGCAGTCAGAGGTTAGATTTGAGAAGAGAGATGGATACTGGACTTTTTGCTAATCCACATATTTGCAGTGATGGTTTGATACCACCGAACGGAATTGTAAGGTGAGAATGTCAGTTAAGGAAATTGTGCCCTAGAACTACTTCACAGCAGAGGTTCCTCATTACCAGCAACTTGATTTTAGAATAGAAATTTTCTTTTAGCTCGAGGTTAACCATGCAGAATCCGATTACACGGCAGGATAAGGACGAAGTGGCCATCGATATTTGATTAGAACAGGAAAAGATTTTCCATTTGTTTGTTTCCACGATATGTGCATCGATAAAATTTTCAGAACTCCCCGTATCAATAAGAGCATGGAGATTTAGTCCGTTCACTCTGGCCGGCACAATTGTTTTAGAGAGGCATTTGGGAGAGACAGTCGATACGGTGGATAGAGAAAGGGTGGCAGCTAAATGGGTTTTCTGTAAAGGGGCCGACCAACAAACCTTTAAAAAATGTCCCTGCTTGCCACATCCATGATATTCTACTGTTTCGAGCTGGGCAGGATGAACGAGCGTGTTTACGAAGGCCGCAGAAGTAGCACTTAATCTCAGCTGAAGCGATAGTAATGGGTTGTTCAGTAGTATTTGAAGAATCCTTATCCTGGGGGTCACAATGTTGTGAATTTGAGATGGGAATTTGTTGGGAATGAGAATGGGCAGGAATAGTAGCCCCTGAAAAATCAGGTTGCGAATAGAGATCTGATTGTTTCTGGGCCATGACCAACGTATGGGCTAGTTCGTAGGCGGTAGCCAAATCCAAGTCTTGTTTTCGAGCATCCTTTGTCTGATTTGGTTAGACCGTACTCCACTGATGAAGGCATCTCTTATTGAGATATGCTTGGCTTGCTGTCAGGGCAGTAAAATCACAGTCGTAACTTAATATTTTCAGGTTTTGAAGATACAGCTCTAGACTTTCTTCAGTCTCTTGACGCCAAGTAGCAAGTAAGTATCGTGCAAAAATGGAGTTTTTCTTCTTAATGAACATACCATCCAGAGTGCTTATAGCAGTATCGTAATTTTGACACCCGAACAAACACTTATAAATGGGAGTGGAAACATGGTGTAATAAGAGGGTTAATTTCTGTGAGCCAGTCAATGCCGATGTAGAAGAAGACTGCAGCTCTGAAAGAAATCCCTCGAACATATCTCTCCAATGTTGCCATTTGTCACCAGAGTCAGGGTCTGACGTATCGAGTTCCAGGCGGTCAGGCTTGAGGTATTGTTCCATTATTTTAAGTTGAATAAATTGTAATGAATAACCCGAAGTGAATAAACTTAGGAAAGCTTTATTCAACTTAATACAGCTACAAAGAAGAAAAGAATTAAGCTAGCTTATTTATAAGCATTTCTGGAATCTGTCCATTACACCAAACAGGGGGAGCAGGTTGTGGGAATTACTTACAACAAACAGATTGATTTAAATCTGTATTGAATAGATGTTCTCAGCTAGAAATGATTATTATTAAAAAAAAAAAATTTAATTCACTTGGACTAATTTCCTTGTTTTTGTTGTTCATCAATTGAATTCACTGGTTCAATGCATATGTCATGGGGAAGGGGAAGTATATGCTCTTCAAAATAAGTTTCAATATTCCAAAATATACAATCACAATCATGATCACAAATCCCATAACCCATGTTCTGCAATTGTAGCAGCAATGCGTGTGTCTAGAGCAAGATAATTTGCTGGAGTTCATTCATATTCAGGCTGGTTTTGAATTCATTTTTCAATGAATGCTAATTAACTTGTAGCTGTGGTGAGAAGCCAGCCCAAATTTTGAACTCTGTATGCCAATTCCACTTTTGATGCTGATATCTTTTACTCTGGCCATATATTCAAAATGCAACAGACAGTCAAAGAAGGTTATAAGGTAAAAATACTGAAATATAATGATTTGAAAAACTGAAAAGCAAAAAAACATGATGAAATTAGTTCAAATGAAACAAGACTTATGGCCAATTCATGTTCAAACATTGGTTCCCATATGATCACCAAAGTTAAGCAACATTGAGCCTGGTCAGTATCTAGATAGGTAACCACTTGGGAATACCAGGTGCTGTATGTTTGGATGTACAGATGGTGTCATGGATAATGGCTTAAAATCAGAGAAGTGAGTTCTAATTCTAATCAGGTTTTTTTATATTCATTTGTGCGTAAAGTTATAAATCCAGATCTTCTCCCTCTAGCTATGGGTTAATTAGTAGGACTTGTATTGGTAAATCCATTATTATCTCAAAAAAAATTCTTACAATCTAAAAATATTTTCTGGCTTTAAATAACCTGCTTTGGATTGATAAGCTTTAGAAAACAAATCGATCAATTAATAAAAAAACAAATGAAACCAAATACAATAGCTCTCTTGCATAAAATATTCAGATAGGTCTTACCCAATATTTTGACTTAAAGATTGTTTTAATTAAAAATAATTGGTTTCAGTCATGTTTTTAAAAAATTCTATAAAGTGTCAAAAGTTTTTTTTTTTTGCTTATTTAAAATGTTTCAATATTTCAAAACATTTTTTAATTTATTAATCATTAAAAAAGTAAGAAATATTAATAATGTAGAAATGTATTTATGAAGATATTTGTTAATTTGTAATCAAAGGTTAACATAAGATATTCAGTATTCTTAGCACAAGTGTAAGTGTTACTGAGATCAAAATATGTAGGTTTATTGATAAGTAAAATCCTTGGAAGCATGGTGGAGCAATAATAGCAGCTTGGATTGAGGAAATGGAGAATTGAGTTCAGATTCTAGTCAAGTTACTTACATTCACTCACATGCTAATACCCTTGGGAAAGGTAGGAATCCATCTCTTCTCTCACCAGCTATGAGAAGATAGCAGGACAGATTGGGTCCTACAAGCTTTGGCTGGCATCCAGTCTATTACAGAAAGAAAATGGCAGCCTACTGCAGGAAATTTTCTGCCTAATCAGTCATGCTTGGGTGATCATGTTTCTTCTGAGGTATGATCACCCAAGCATGTATCATGTAATCATTTTTTTAAATTAAAATATTGATTACTTGTTTTGTGAGGTCAGGTTTTATTATGTAAACAAACTAAAGGCAATATAAATTCTCCTTTATAAGTAATCCCAGAAGATACAATGCATAAAGCAGCAACCTGTCTATGAGAAGAAAAAACTTTGAATTCAAAATCATCCTGGAGATGGTTGGGCTCTGTCATGCTGTCTTGACTAGGAAATAATACTGCTACTGTGGCTGTAGTACATTTAATAGGTTACAGGTCTTATGATCAAAAGTTTCCTGTCCTCTAAAACATACTATAATGAAATTATCAAAATAAACTGAATTTATTTCTCTTTAAAAGTGAAGATTTATTTTTCAAAAATCACTATTTACTGCTACACATTTTTGCAAATGTTTTATCTACTTCTTTCATTCCATCCATGGAGAAAGTTTCTGGATTAGTTTTGATCTTGTGCACATTGGATGAAAAATGTTGACCTTTTCACCCCACCCTTCAATATAAGGGGCAACCAGAAGTTTGATGGTGGCAAATTCTTGTTCTACAGCAACAGCTGTGATTTGTAGACTTTCTCATCTTTTCAACATTTGTTGACTGCAGTACAACTTTGTATTATCATGATGTAAAAAAAAAGTTTCTGTTCAGGAATTCTGGTTTATTCTGCAAATGCATTGTGTTCTTGCAACGTTTCATTGCTTTCATATCTTGTGAATTTTAACAAGCACACAAGACTTTTAATGTCAAAAATTCTATCACAAATTACTGCTTTATATATAACTTGGATGTTGAACTCATGATTAACGAATGCTATTGCTCAGTGCCATGATGAAGTAGACTGTTTAAACATGATTTTATATACTGCCAAATACATATTTAATAAAATCTTATCAATAGGGTCTGTAATGTTATTGATCCTGACCTGGCATCTTGACTTCTGCCACTTTCCATGATGTCACTTCCCACTGTTTTCTGTAAATATTTTCATGGCAATTATTCTAATGGGAGTTCCTCTTTGGTATCTTGATTTCATGAATTTAAGTACTAGATTGTCTAGTAGGTCTCATCATTTTACTGTTGAAATATATAGATATAACATTAAGTTCTATTCTAATCATTTCTTTTTTTACACTTCTCACTATTGGAAATCTCTGCTGGTCTTTTGTTTCCATGCCATATACAATCTTCAAAAATATGAATACATGCCAATCACCATCTTCTGTCTTCCCAAATTCTATTCTTTCATTGTCCTTTCTCCTTACTAAAATCTTCTCATTCTCTTTCACTCCCAACAACTCCTTGTCTCTTAGTGGCATTATCACCTTTCTTTGAGTGAACTGATTAGAAAAAAATTGAATAAGATAAAATGCATATCTTTTTGATATTTTTTTTTTACAGACTTGAAAGTAAACAGTGTGGTGTGTAAAATATTATGGATATCATCACTTTACTGTTGAAATAGTTTTTTTTTTTTTTTTTTTTTACTACTCACCTGTTGAGCTCTCTTCTGGTTTCTTGCTTCTCTGCCACCTACGATCTTCAAAAATGTAAATGCAGCATCAGTTGCCAGCTTTTGTCTTCTTGAATCATGTTTTTTTTATTGTCTTTTCTCCACATCAAAGTTTTCTCATTCTCTTTCACTCCCAATAACCACTTGTGTCTTAGTGGCATTATCGGTGAAATTATTAGAAAAAAAACATGTTTCTATCTCAGCCCACTCAGTAGGAAACCTTTCCTATCAATCAACCCCCATATATGGAAGCCAAAGAAAATAACCACAAATAGGAGACAGGAGATAAATGAGCTTTTATGATAATGAACAACACAAGCTGAATTCATCTTGCAGAAAACTGAAACCTTTGTATTTTTATTCTCTTGAAAAGATGGTGTAAACAGAAAATGTTTGTTTGTATTTCAAATTTTGTTAATATTATGCATTGATTTAATTTTTTATCACTTTTTTCATCTTTTTACGAAATTGTTTCAACCACTGTATACTACAGCCTTCCTCAGGTATCAATCACATTTGTTAAACTTTTGGAAATGTCAAATGGAGCTTTTAATTTGATCTGTACTGATATATTGTTTTCATTCCTTTATTTTTCATATCCAGTGTTCTGAGTTGTATTCATTGAATGTACCTGCAAGAAATTTAATAAATTCTTTCAGAACTTGTAACTATCACTTTTTTTAAAATGTCAATCTGCCTCTTTGCTTTGCTTGAATTTTAACCCTTAATTGTTCTTTCTGATGTTTGTTTTTACATTACCTAACTCAGTGACTTCCAGGCAACCAAATATATACCAGAATTTTTTTAACCTTATTGAAGGCTATTTTATTGTTTCCAATTCATGATATTTAGTTAACAGATGAATACAACTAAAAAGAGCTTCAGTATTGTAATTAAGGTGAAATGAAACTATTAAAAAATTAATAATAAACTAAAACTAAATTTTCAACATTTATCTGCTAGATGCTGATGAGCTGAAGCCAATAAATGAACCTCCATAGAACAGATTTTCAATTGTGAACAGGTATCATAAGTGGCTTTTACAGACTCATTAAATTTTTTTTTTTTTTAATGCAAATATTCCTGTTTGGTTCTTGTCACAAGTAGAAGAGATAAAATTAACCTTTATTTTAATGTTTTATTTTTCATAAACTTTGAGAATTTTTCTTGGAAACATGTATTCACTTTATGTTGATGACTTGGTGGCTTATATAATGGAAACACCTGTAAATTAATGATCACCATCTTAAAGTATTAATGATTTATTTATTTTTCACCTCAAATTCCTTGACTAATTTGTTCAGACTAGTATCTTTATCTTTGTTGTATTTAATGTTTCTGCTGAATTGTTAGAGTAAATTCACAGCAGTTAAGAGCATTTACTGAAAACCAAGCTCTCTAAACTAGTGAACTAGTGTGAAAGAAGAGCTTGTTAATCATCATATCAGTGTAGGCAGTGAGTAGTGATGTTTCTCTTTAGAATGTAAGAGATTAAATATTTCAACCTTACCTCTTTTGAAAATAGAGCACTGCTTGTAAGGCTTTCATCTAAGCAGCATGAATAGGATAGAATCTTTGGATGTAATGGCCAAATGGGAAATGAATTGATTGATGTCCAAGCAAAGGTCTGATTTTATGGTGAACATCCAAAAATAAAAGTCAGTATTTGGATGAGATGTGGAGAGGATAAAAGCAGACATTATTGTTTTGAATTGCTTCTTCACGTAAAGGTGACTGAGGAAATGAATGCAGGTATCACAAATTCATATATATCTATCTTAGTCTTACTATTTGGTTATCTACCTCAGTTTGTTCATATCTTTCTATCTATCAGAATTATTTCTATTTCTGCATTTGATTTCTCTACAGTTTGGACCATTTTTCTGGTTTCCAGAAAAAATTTGAACATAAATCTTTCACTGTCTTCAGAGAACTTTTAACATTCATAGATTAATATCAAAGACATTCTGAATTTTTAAAAGTTCTTGTTTGTGTGTCAAGACTTTTTTAATGTATGTTTGTGTGAACATGCATTTGTCTATAGACAGGCATTGTGTTTTTGTTTTTTTATACTAGACTAAATTTTTATTTTTCCTACTGGCTTGCACCTTGCAAGTACCATTTTACGATCACTATGGTAGCATTTACACCCAGCAATTGTATAGCGATGGGCTCATCTCTGGATCCTATATTATGTAATTTTAATGAACCATATAGAAAAAAGGTCTTTTATAATTTCAATAAACACTCAATATATGTCATATTGATAACATTTTCATATTAACAGAAAACATAGTTGAATTAAAAACTCTTAAAGAAACATTTGAAAGGAACACTGTTCTACAATTCACTTATGAACTCAGTATTAAAAATAGAATACATTTCCTGAATGTTCTAGTAGATGCTAATAATCAACATTCAAAAATACTTGGAGGGAAAAAATAAAACATAGATAAAAATCAACTTTGGTAAATTTACTGATTATATAAAGCAACTAATTCGGAAATTTGAAAAAGTTAATAGTCAGAACTTTTAAATGTTATTCAACCCAACATGTTTGTAACAA